TGTTCTAAGTATGGTGAAATCTGAATCCAACCCATCATCAATTATAATAAAGGAAACTCATTATGCATAATAAATATCAAAATTGATATCAGCAGCAGAAGAACACAAGTATACATGATGTTAAAAAGATAAAGGAACTAAGTGAGATAACAAAAGTGAAAAAGACAAGAGAGATCATCTGAGAAACACAGGCTTTCTTGAACTTGAATGGGGACATAAAGCAGGACTTGGTTAGGCATGATATAAACAGCAGTTTTGGGGTTTGCCATAATTCTCCAAAAATCATTTTAACCTTGTTTTTGATCTGATTCTTCTCTTGTTTAGGCAGGAAAAGTACACATTTTTGTGCATATATTTCAAAGGCGTACACCCGCCTATCCCTGAGTAAAGCTTGAACACACATATTTTTTGGAAAAAGCACATTTCAAAGTTCACATTAATAATAATAACTCTTTTGAGTGTCAGCACAAATTCAGGAGTATGTAGAATGCGAGTAAAGGATGCATGATATTGCACAGATGAAAAATATGAAACACAAGTTCCCAACTTCAGTCTGTTTGGAATATGAAGATTCTCTAAGATATAGGCAGAGCAAGTTTGCCGATACAGGAAGAGGTTTCGGCAAGGGGCGGCATAGAAATGTTATAATAATAATAATAATAATAATAATAATAATAATAATAATAATAATAATTTTTAATCAAACGTGGGAATCATCACTTGCTTTCATTCTTCAGTAGTTTGTCATTGTTTAAGAGCAAATTTTCACCATTCTTGTCTTCCCAATGCCTTGTTGATATAGGTTCTTGGTTGAAGGCTAAACAAAATATATTACGTGCATATTCTGTGTTGCATTTTAAACAGGTTTTTTGCCTTTTCTTCCAAAAAATGAAATCCTAAGGCAATATTAATGTATTGATCATAATGGGCTATTTATTTCTTTTTTCAATACTTTGAATTTGTTGCAGATGCAGAACTAGCAAACTTTGGTGTAGTTTCAAAATATGTCACACTTCCTTAGACTTATTTGTTTATTATTTTAAGCATTTCTATACCATTTGATTAGCATAATGCTGTCAGAATAGTTTACACATATTCCCTAAATACAACACACACACTCTTTTTCTCAATATAAAAGCATAGAGACTTTGAGCATATTGAAAGCTAACTTCTTACAGACATGATAAATGTGAGAATATAGCATTCAGGTGACAGAAATAAATCGATAGCCATTGGGATTGTATGGCATGATGAATTCTGAGCTGAATTAACTGAAGGCTAGCTGCTCTACAAAACCAAACTCTTATTAAGCATAAATGAAACTAGACAAAGAATGGGAATTCCTTCCATATCTCTTTTGCATGAGCTAAATGTCATGGGTTGTTGTTTTTCAAGTTATAAAAAGGCACTTTTTAAAATAATATTTTTATTTTGCTTCTATAAACACTAATCATATTATCAAAATATCTGGTAAATACACATTACAGTGGAGTCAAAGCTTTTCCGTTACAAGAACACTTTCTCAAACAGGTGTAACAAGCTGTGCATGGAAATGCAGAATCTTTGTACCTGCAACACTTCTTACAAATTTTCTTATACTTGTGCAGGATTACCAGCAAGTTGCCACAGTTGCAGTGTTATCCAGGATGGCTTTTTCCATTCATCATTATGTCTTGATCCAAACCCTGTTGGTTGGTCAAGGCAGCATGGGACTTGGGAAGGTTGTCTGACCCCAAACATGGCCATCCTGGTACACTGCACTCTTCACATGCTATTCTAGAACTGTGGATTCATAGGATCTGCTGCATGTTGCCATTCCTTGTGAAAAGCTGTTTTCTTGTCTTATCATTTTTCTGTCTTATCTATTTATTACATTTATATCCTGTTTTTTTCTTACATTGAACTCAAAGTGGCTTACATAATACTCTTCTTCCTTTCAATTTTATTCCTACAACAATAACCCTGAGAAGTAGGTTGGGCTGAGAGTTTGTGACTGGTCCATACCCAATTGGCTCCATGGCTGAGTGAGGGAAAAAAATCCAGATTGCCTAAATTCCTGTCCCACGCCCTTAACTAGTGTACCACTGGCTTTCACAGATAACGGGATGACAGAGCTCCATGATATGGTCTGGGACATCGCAGAGCACAGGACAGTTCCATCAGTACATCATTCAGTTCAGGCAGCACTTTCCAAGTTCCCTGCACTTGCTTTTTACCATACCCTGCAAAGCTGGAGCCAGTATCACAACCAGTTGGAACATAGAAACACTGCTTTTCTTAGCAGTTCTTGTGATGGTGAATAGCAGAATTATTCATTCAGTCAGTCATTTGCCAGATCAGAATGATACAAGCATACTCTGTTGCTGGTGGCCACAAACAACAGCTAATACCACAATATCAGTGTGAACAGTCCATATTGGTATCCAATAGTAGCTATGTTGTGATGAAGGTTGGGTATACAGCAACATGCCTTGTATCAGCCTGCTCGTGGGTGCAAGGGTTAAATGAGACAGCATCTTGTGGAGACAGTTTGCAGAGAAACCTCTTCCCATCAGTTATGATGAACTGCTTACACTCCTGATGAAATGCATTACCAAAAAGTATTCTGAAGTCAAAATTATTTATTGTTCATATTGATCACATGCATGTTAGGGGTCAGTATCAGTCAGTCATGTGCTCCATGAACACAAGGTTCTTATGGGTTATATAAACAGTCCTTTGGGTCTTACATGAAAAACAAGACAATGAACAGAATGGATTTAAACATGCAAATTAAAATATCTATTTCCAGAGTTAACTTGGGAGAGAGTCAATCAAAGGTGTTGGAGCATCAAACCAATCTTTGTCCCCAAGAGATATAATGTATCCCACTCTGTCTTTCATTTAACTACCTATCTAATCAAAGCATAAGTCACTTTTAGCCACAGCTCTCAGGGCAATGCACATAAATGTGAAATACTAACAAAAGAAAAAGTCATCAATAGATCCAGTTAAGTACAAGGATAACTAAGCATAGGCAGAAATACAGTATAAAGCAGCATAGACTAACATGTTTAAAAAAAAACAATAAAAAGAATGGAAAAAATGTACACAGATGAAAAATAGCTCTAAGACAGTTAAAACTAAGAGACAACTTTTAACTGTCTTCTTCTAAACCCTCCAAAATTTTTAGTCAGCTCTTTCCAGTCCTTTCTTCATACACAATAGAACCAGTTGATCTCATATCCCTCTAAGTTGCCATTTGTTACCTTTTCTTTGTGCATTATCTCCTAAGAAAACGGTGATGGCCCTACGGTATAGGACAGTTTTAACAAGCTGCCTTTAGAGGTTTTACCCTTCTGAATTGGTTTGACACCAGCATTTGGTAGTAAAGCAATGTTGCTTTTCTGCTACCTGAGCCACAGTTTTTGCTGATATTACATCAGTAATGGTAGGGGTGGTAGGGTCTGCATCAAAGAGCAACAGGGGTCATGTGTCAGGCATGCCTGCTTTTCAGCATGCCATGTTAAACATTTCTATATAAATGCAACAAGTTTCATTATCTCTCCCGAGTTCTCAAGAAAAGTTTCTGCTGTCCTGCCATTTCAAAGACAAATGGATAATATACTGTCTCTCTAAGAAATAGTGCCAGTTTTTGAACAGGAATAGAAAATAACTGTATTCAGCAAAACTATCTAATTTACAGTTTTCCAATCCATATGAGAATGGAAATGTATTCAGCAGTTACATGTCTGCAATTTTTGCAGTTGTAGTACAAATGCATATTAAAATGCCTTTGTTGGGGAAAGCAAGCACACAAGTGCATTTGTTGGTGAGACTAAAGTAGAAAATGCTTTATGTTGTGGGAAACTGCTTGAAAAATGTATTTATTATGCACATTTGTGCACTTTTATGTGTATATTAGAAGAGAAATGTAGAAATCCATTTACACATTTCCATGTGGATTTTTTAATGAGTACCAATACAGAAGGAAAACAATTCTGAAAAAATTAGAAACTGAAATTGCCAGATTTGTCCATTGCTCTTCTTCAAATAGTGGATTCTGAAGGCCAAGGCCATTTTGTCTTTGCCATGGTACTGTACTGTACTGACCTAAAATGCATGTGGAAAAAAATCAATCCCCTTCTTTCTTCTTTTTTAGACTAAGATATAAATGGATGGTCATACACAAACGTTTTCAGTCTTGATTGCATTTAATAGCTTTAGCCAGTGCAGTTAAAATATCTAATAACAGAAACAGAAATTACTGCTTGGTTCTATCTGTCTGTCTCTCTCTTACCATAGTATGCCTGTAGTGGAAAATTTGAGATATTTCAAGTAAAATCTTAAGTAATTTCCTCCTGATGATAATCTGAATAATATATCTTGACATAGTTTGTTTTCCTGTGCAATAAAATTTAAAAGGAGAATTTCACTTACCCCAATTTAGTGTCTGCTAGGCACTTTCCAGTTTGCAGCCATTAATTCTTGCTTTAAGATCTTTTGGATTAAACCATTTCCTTCCTTTATGTATATTGGTTTCAATACTGTCCAGTGATTATAATACATCTGGTCTAGATAGTCTCTGTGCTGATAGTCTCTGTCATTATTTTACACTAATTTACCCTTAAATAATAGAGGGTTCAATCCAGTTTTAGTTTGATTTAGAACAGACATGCTCATTTTGATGGTCTACTCAGAATATGCCTGAGTGGATCCAAGTCACTCTGAAAAGAAGGAATAATTGCTAAATTATCACAGAAATTATTAAGCAAGGTGATTAGGCCCATTAATTGATCCAGACCAGGGAAAACAGAGTTTCAAAAGACTAACCAGTATGTTGTGGATGGTTTGGTTGCATCTTCAGTCAAACTCATCTAAAGTGCACTGTTTTTAGTCCGTTATTCTGGCATGGTAACTTCTGTGATGTTCAGTTCCACATTAGATAGAAACTGTGCTGTGCATTCAGCAATATACAACTTCCTAAATTTTCTTCTTCTCTCTCCTGTTTTCTCTTTCAGCGGATGGATGTACTGACTGGTCAGTGGATTACAAGAAGTATCAAGTCTTAGTGGGAGAACCTGTTCGTATAAAATGTGCATTGTTTTATGGATATATAAGAGCAAACTACACTCTAGCACAAAGTGCTGGACTGAGTTTGATGTGGTACAAAAGCTCTGGACCTGGCGATTTTGAGGAACCTATAGCTTTTGATGGAACTAGAATGAGCAAAGAGGAAGATGCCATTTGGTTTCGCCCAACAGTAACACAAGACAGTGGGCTTTATGCATGTGTCATAAGGTATGTATAGTTGACATTCTTTGGACATCATGAATGGGGAAGCTATATAAACGTAGTATCTTTGCTCTGTGCATCAGATAAATATTATAATCTTATCACTGAACTATCTATTTCATTTTGAATGGTTTGTACATAACCAGTATTTTACTTGTTCAGTGTATTCATGATTATTTGTTTCACACTCGATAGGAAATTATTATATTTTACATTCTAGTCCTAATGGCTTCAGTTGGTTCTCACCTTACCAATGTTTGTATTCTGTGAACACTCCCCATAGAACAAACACTTTGAAATTCCATAGTTTTGAACAGACATATAAGTGATATTTATCACTCAGCCTTTACAAGGAAGGAAATGATATTTCATTGCCTACTAAAAGTATTAAAGCTAACTCATTCATATTTTTTTATTTTTCCTTCCACTATTCTCTTATTTCAATTCTGCATAGTTTTCTACCATGAAGAGATATTAGACATTAAAACAGGTACAAAAATGAAACATGAGGGAAGGGAATGTTGAATGAAGGTAAACACAAAACCATTTCCTTAAGTTTTTGCTATAGATATCATTTTATAACCATCTTGCAGCTGCAGAAAGCAGTAGGGCTTGAGCTTAACTCAGCACCTTTTTAAATGGGAGAGAGAGAGAGAGAGAGAGAGAGAGAGAGAGTCCAAAATAGCATATCACTTCTTATAGTTCTCGCTTTTGAAATGCATATTCCCCTCCTTCTGCATCACTAAAATGATTCATACTGAGATATACTTTCCTGCCTATAGAGAAAACAGAGACCATCTGGGCTCCCACTTAGATTTTGAAAATTACCAGAGAATATAGAATTAAATTTAGAGATAGGTTAAATGATGCACATAAAAATGCAGAAAAAGCCTTGCAGAGAAACTCCACAGTTTATTGCTAAATGGGTTGTAACATTTTACTTATTGCCCTTTGCAGAAAGAGTATAAAAGCTCTGATAGCTCTTCATTGACACATAGCTGTAGATATGATTCAGTTGTCTGCATACTGTAGCATCCGTAATGAATTACAGCCCCAAAAGGTACAACTGGCAGAAAGTGCACCTGTTATTAAGGTTTCCTAGTTTTTTAACCAAGGCGAAAAAACCAAACAGAAGCAACCCATGCACTATCTCTGTCATTTTTAGCATTTGGTGCTTATTGCTGAAGTGATTGCCCCAGTTTTATGTTCTCTGCAACTTCTCAGCTCCAGTACAGTCTTTGCCTTATCATGTACTCTATTTTACACAATAATAAGTATTTTCTGCTTCTTATATCCCTGTTCAGATGGAAAACACAATACATGAGCAGACTCTAAAGCTGATTAATTGCTTAGGCTCAAGTACATGCCCTAGTGATGTAGGTTGTTCCTATAGTAAAGGATCAGCATGTAGAGCACATTTATACACAGTGTTATATCGGTGATCTTGCAATCTGTCCTCTCTGCTGAAAGTGCTATATAATTCTCACCATTCATCCAGCAATCTATAGTCATTTTAGATAAACACTGAGCTTATGTTATTCACTGTTGTGTACCATAAAAATGCTTACTTTTTTTCTTTTTGGGGGGGTGGTATGTAATTTTTCAGCCTAGGAAACATCTGTGAAGTGCGAGATTATCAATTGTCACATTGTGAGACATAATTAAGAAAATTAGCATGTTGAGTGAGCTATATTTATTAGAAACTGACATGAATACACTGACCTGGTGGCTTCTCTGCAAATTCAGATCATCTCTATTTTGTAGCCATTAGCTGACAATCAGGTCTATCCCCCAATCAATGGATTATGGAAGTTGCAAATGGATATGGCCTTAAAATTCTTGTTGACTTTTCCTTCAGCACTGATTTAAAGGGCTTTGTCATTATCTGTCAATCTTATCTGCATGAAACAAAATGAGTGCCTTTTTAATGACATCCCTCAACTCTCAGCTTCCAGTGCAACTCACCCACAGACAATACTGTTCTTATTCTCGTGATTGTTAACATGCATGTGCATAGCACTCTGCAGGATAACAGAACACACACACAACTGGCAAGACCCTTCTGTGAGGATTTTCAGTCTTACCACAGAGAAAGACAGCAAAAGGAAGTAATGTGCAGGTTATGAGAGTGGTCATAAATTAATATAGATAACAGACATTTAGGTTATGTTGTATTTCATGGTGGTAAACAAGAGATTCAGTCAAAAGTTCAGTGTATTTTGAAATTTGTTTAAATATATGGTGACTACTACTAGGTGACGTGTATTATATGGAACAGCATTTTGGAGACCAACTCAAGATTCCTTCAAATAGGGTGGAGACATTGATATGCTATGTTTAAATGCCACTGTGTTGTACAAAACTCTGTAGTTGTGACTAAGTATCCCATCCTTCAGCCACTCACTCCTACCTGAAGTATAGCACTCCCAGAATCTGGTTGACTGTGCAGAAGGAAGAAGGACCAGAGGAAAGGCAGGAAATCAAAGCTGCTGCCGCCTCCAGATCTTAAAGAAATGTTAAGACACACTTGAACCTTCTGGCGACAACCTGGCCACTCTAGATTTAAATGTATCAAAATGCCTTCAGATAATTCCATACTTGTGGTTGAATAAACTAGGATTCTTTCACTTTGAAATGGAGTCACCAGGCAGAATCCAACAGGGTGCTGCAACTCTGTTGTAGAACCCTGATAGTGCCATTACACAAGCAGAGATTTAGCATTTCTAGGACAACTGGAAATGAGCACACACACACAATCACGTGTTTGTGTGTGTGTGTGTTATGCATATGTATATGTATACATTCTTTGTGAAATGGAGCTGTAAACAGAGTTTGCATAGGGGCACTCCCCCAACCTATGCTGATACAGAAATTAGAGTTTCCTTTCCTTTCAGGGTTTCCTGCAGAAAGTGTTAAATTACACAAGTAATGAGTGCCACTTGTGCAGTTTAATCAGTGGGAGGAACCACTTGAAGAACCAACTCAGAGAGGCACAACAGAATTGATGGGGATGTGGTACCCTATTTAATACCACCCGTGCGTCCATGTGACATAACTGTAATGAAGGCAGAATTTCTTTACTAGTATAATACAGAACTCCAATATTAGTATAATTTCAACATTCTTCATTGTGCATGCTATAAATGACTTTATAGTGGAAAACAAATCTGGAATTTACAGTAAGGAATAATTACTACTGTCCAAAAAAAGAAAGTAGCATTCCCAGGACTTTGACTTTATCTTTGTACTTACCTAACAGGGGAAACACTTTGAACATGAAGGATTACTTTCCCAGAAACAGGCTCATCAGTTTCTTTGTCTTTTCAGCCTAGAAACATTGACATTGAGGAGACTGCTTGGTACACAATAAATAGCAAGTCCATTTACTTTTATGAGCCTTTTCACTGTGTGGGCTCAACTGTTTTTCATATACAGAAACATGTTGCATTACTAGGCTGCACATTGCAAGACTGAAGGAGCTGAAATGACTGAAAGTAAAGGCTCCTATTAGACACACTGATGAATTTAATTACTGTTAGGCTAAATGTATTGTAAAATGAATACATTCTGACTGGAAATCTCAGAGTTGCCCAAACACTCCTTTTTATGATTTCTGTGTGGCTATAGCCATGTATTTGGGTTTCAAATGCACAACCCACTTCTTTTCCATATAGATTTAGATAGTCATGAATCTTCAGCTTCTAAGAAAGTATCAGATGTTTTGGAGACAGGCAATCACATGGTCCAAGAAACTATTATGTTGCATGGATATTAATCCTGTAGGATCAATCTTGTATCGTTCCAGTCTTAGCAATGGGTTGTTTCAGTTCAGCTTGCGGCGATGCAGTCTGTTGGTCCTAATGGAGCTGTGATGTCATACAGAGTATCTTGATCTCATGTTAATCACAACAGCACAGAAGGACAGGCAAGTAGATGCCTTTTGCTGACAGTCTGTTGCAGTGCCCTTACACCAGATCATTAAATAACCAGGCATTCACAGTATCTCAGGTGTATAATGTGGCAAAAATCCCTTGGGTCTTGTCTGTTTTTATATAGTTTTTAGACCACAAAATTATATTCTACCATATTCAGTGCTTGGCCTGATTTAGGCTGAACCAATTTGGAGGCCCTCCACTTCAGTGCGAAGCCCAAGCTGAGATTCAGAAGCACTTCTCACTGAGTATAATGGGAAAGCAAAACATAGTAAAGCACAGGAGTTCAAGAGGCCACTCTTTAGACAGAACACTCTGCACTGATTTGAAATATTTCTTCTCCTTTGAAAATGGCTACATGGACTGAGTACAGATCTGAAACGTGAAAAGCTGTCCTAAATATGGGCAGTGCAGCAGCTTTCAGTTCGTTATTTGCTTTTTGGCGCCAGGCGAAGACCTTTTTATTTAAGCGGCATTTTAATTGTTAATATTATTGGATTTTATCTGGCCAGGGAGGCTTATTTTATATTGCTGTTTTTGTATTTTTAAATTAATGCTTATATTTTTTTAATTTAATGTTATAATTGTTTTTTAACTTATTGTTGTAAGCCGCCCCGAGGCTTCGGCGAATGGGGAGGCATAAAAATGTTTTAATAAATAAATAAATACCCCAGGCTTTAACCACTACTCCGTATGGGACTGTGTGTCGCAAGTTTAATACATGTATGCCAAATTCAATCTTGGTACCTCAGTCATGTATAGTTATATTATAAACAAATTGACATTGCATTACCTATGCAAAGTACAAAATAGGCAAGTTAATCTAGAATTCTCACTGTAGAATGCAGTCTAAAAGGGTTACCACCTTTTTGGATGGGGGGCTCTGATCTCGTCCATTCAAAGCTCTGCTAGAGCCAATCACGGCAGGAGAAAACAATAAAGGCAATTTGACCTCCCATTTCTTCTTGAAAACTTATCATCCAGACAGATTTCTGAGCCTGTCCAACTCACTTATCTAGCAGCACATGGGAATGCTTGATAAAGAGGTTTCTGGATCTAGTGGATCCAATACTC